TTTTTTTTTAATTTATGGCTAACAGAACAATCCATAGGCCTTCAAAAAGTTGTGTAACTAGCAAACGGTCAGTAACAAGTTGGAGAACTTAGTGTCCAAAAGGAGGACCCCTCGTCTGAAAACAACCGTATCACTACTAAACGACTACTTTACTAAACCCATTTCTCTAGCTATGTGTTGCAACTTCATTTTACTATCTGTTCTCCTCTTGCTACACAAGACGTAACTTAGTCGCTTTTAGTTCAAAAAAAGTGTTCAGTACCTTCAAGCATAAAATCTGCCCTCGGAAAGAAGAAATAGTTGGTAAATTAAAAAGGGGAAAAAGGCAGTACAAACACCCGCACAAAGTACAAATGACTGTCTCAAAAGGAAACAAAGAAAACGCAGTTTTTTAGTTAGACCTAATTAAAAGTCAACCTCCCAAACACAGACCGAATCAGTGACCAAAATTCCCCTAAAACTGACCAAAAAAAACTGACAGAGAACAAACCATACATTAACGTTTTTTCGTTTTTTTCAGCAGTGTTAAAATTATTCGTATTTTGAATATCATAGATGACTCAACTCTGCATTAAATTGTATAATGTGGTATCATAAATTCCAGAAGCCAACATGGGAAAAAATTATTCTAAACTGATGCCTAAGAGGCAGCTCTGAGCACGTTTGTTGAACAGTTTTGAACATGTTTGTTAATATCGCAAACCGTACTTGTGTTACTGCCAAAAAAGATATCATGTCCTTCTTTAAATCGTTTTTAAAAGTCTGCCCTACAACTATCACGTCCTAAGAATATAGACGGTTAAAGCTAACTCTAAAATTCGCTTTGAAAGCTCTTCATAACGTTCACAAAGCCCTAGTCGTTGGTTAAATAAATTAAGCCTAATAATACTGACACTGTGTTTGCCACTTTGAAGCAGGCAATAAGCAAAACAGCAATCAAAAGGTAGCAGAGAAGGCAAAATCACTAAACCAAATGACCAATTTAAAACTGCTTTGCAAAAGTAATAAAAAACTATTATGAGGCAGGAAAAATAATAAGAGTTGTTAAAGTTTTAATTCTAAGCAAACGTTTTAAAAAAAAACCTGATTATAACAAAAGTTAAAATAAAACGACTTTATAAGAGAATTTAGGTGTTAAAATAGAAATTTAAAAAACTTAACGACAGCCAACTCACGAAAAAACACTGATACATCAACACGACACAAAAAGACGATGACACGCTCTTTCTCTGTCGCCAACAGCAAAAGTGAATTCCTTCTTTAATTCACCAAATTTTCAACTCTTTACGACAATCTACCGAAATTTTATCAACAATGCAAATCAAAGCATTTGAAAAGCAACTCAGGAGGTATGCAAAACAATCAATAAAAATAAACATCAGAGACCGGTGACATCAGTGATACTCCCTCATCGCGTCCCCTTTTAAGCTCCGGTCTTTCAGGAAACCAAAAAATTAGCAGTGAAACTGTAAGTAAAAAATTACCTATTGACTTTAGTAGCAAAGTAGTAAAGTAGTAAATAGCGAAAAAATTAAGGCTAAAATTTGGCATTACGAGGTTTTTGCTTCCATTCGGTGTAATTTAACTAGTAAATAAATGACAAGAAAACCAAATCCAATCTTTTAAAGCCTTATTCTTCACTACATATTTCTTCTTTAGAACAATTTGTTCGCAAATAAAGCTACCAAAAAATCATATCTTCAGCTGAGATTAAGGTGCACCTTGCCTAAACAATTAGTTTTAAAAAATAACTTAATAGACTATTATTCTAAAGTATTGAAGCAGAGCTCTCAAAAGACCAAAAAATCCCAAAATACCTCTTCAAAATTACAACTTCCTGTAGTATTCCTCTCAATCCACTGATTTATTTGATCCACTTTTTTCTTCGCTAGTAATGGTGATAGATTGAGACGATGATAAACAAATGCGTAATTCTGCAGTATCCAAAACTGTGAAAACAATCAAACTATTAAAGCGCACTTTAAAGTATTCGCCATAATATAAAACAATGTTTAAAGATTTGTCTTCACGTTTCTTGAGTCGCTTTATACAGTTCAGGCTTTGATACTGAATACTACTTACTGCGAGTCCCTAGAAGACAGAAAGCATGAGTAAAAAATGCGAAATAGAATTGTGAGAGGTCCAGAAATGACCACAGAACGATCTTATCCATCTGTCTCACATGAAAGTCAACAAGTTCTACCAAGCATATGAAGCCTTCAAAAGAATTTAGTAACCCAGAACCCCCCTTCTGCTCTTCTACGCTCTTCCACTGCCAAGCATAATTGATGTAAATAACAAATACACTTAAAATCGAAGAGTGACACAGTTGTCTGAAATTCCCTTGGTGTGTATAGATCGACTATGTTTACCGTATTGAGAGAATGCCTTCTTAATATCCATTATAATAATCAAACTAAAAGGAACACCCATAATTTGAAATTAGAGCCCAATCATGACTATTGCTCGGATATTCAGGCCGAAAATAAAGACTCATTCATCAAATCTAAAAATTAATTTCTGCCCAAACTTTCACTCACATCAACCATTGAAATGTTCGAAACTATCAAAAAATACCAATAATGTCATTTAATACGCCTTAAGATCTCCACATTTCGTATTTGTAAAAAGTAGAAGTCGTAGGCTTCAAGTAAGCAGCGGAATAAGGTACGTACGAAAGAAAAATTAAACAAATAAAGCATCACTTACTATGAAAGCCAAAACATGACCTACGAACAGTGGCTGATCGCTCAAAATAAATTGAACAACCGATACCCTTGAACTCTAAACATCAAATCCCTTTATTGGCCTTGGACGCTATTCGACTAAAGAAGCAACTATGCGACCCAACTTCACCCTTCAACTCACTTGGAACGAAAATAACAGTTAGAGATCCAGATTTCAAATCAAAAATCTAACAAGGTTGTCAGCTGTAAAAGAATAAAGAAAAAATCAATATTACAGCAGCATCCTTAACAGCAAAAGCTCAACTAGTTTTGTAGGGAATAAAGTTTAGATTCCACTGACTGTATGCTTTCAACGAAGAGAATAAACAAATGTAAAGAACTTCACTTTCATTCTCCTCTGCGGTTAGCAACTGCTTATCCGTCATTTTAAGTGACCAAAATCCGAATGAAAGATGTAAAGCCTAACTGCCATTGATCAAAAGTAAGGAAAAATGCTTTTAGTTCGTATGTAGGTCAAAAAATAATTAAGAAAGCGGAAATAACATTATTGCTTTGTAAGCCCAATGTTAGTTAGCAAAAAAGAAGTTATTGTAAAACTTTGAAACGATTTCCAGAATACGAGAATGATTTGTTATAATTTTTACCATTCAGAGTACTCTACTAGCCTTCAGTTAAAAAATCTTGAAGCCAGTTTCAAAATATTTTTTGTGGGTATAAAACCAGCTTTAGTGCGAAAACAAAACTTAGCTGATAACCCAGTAATTTAAACAATTTTGTCAACAACTCCCAATCCAAATGATGTGATATTTAGCAAATTTTACCGCAGCAACTAGGCAAACAATTATTGTTTATGTTAAATCAGTTTACTGGAACAAATATATTGATAGACAGTAGTTTCGAAATGACAAACCACCACCAATTCACAAAACTTAGAATGATAAAATTTCAAACTTAAAGTCGCATGTAATTTAAAAGGTTAAGATTTTATGAATGGCTAAGTGATATATAACTTGTACAGAGGAATGAAACCAACCATTAGAAGATTTCAAAAAGTACAGAGTCAGATATGCAAAGGTGGCACTTCAGCGTTCCTTCTTGGAAAACTTCAACTAATAAGTATAAACAAAAACAAACCCCTGCAAGTAGTAGTGAAACTAGGAGGTCTTCAAGAATATTAACACCTTTTAAGCTAAATAATAAGGTTTAGAAAATTGAGTTTTGAAACCGAATTTTGTTAAAAAGCACACTTGAAATTCCAACCGACATACCCTTTTCTACAGGCTCCCGAAAAAAAATATCATAGAAATTTGAAAAAGACGGTGTGAAAGTTTAGCAATAAAGTTCTTGTTCGACGTCAAAAAACTATAATAATACCAAAAAAATGTTTATATAGTAAAAATAGATGCTTACTTAAAACCAGTGCAATATATGCTTAACAGTAAAACGTTTTGCACGTTTTACAGACTTGCAGTACCTACTGATCTCAGACCCGCTTCTGACTATATTACTTTTATAACAATAAGAAATTAACCATCGATAACCATCGATAACGATTGCACAACATTTAAGAACGTGTATTAGAGTCAAAAAAATTTGTTAAATGATCAAGTCATTAACAACTCAAGCCAAATGCTGATGGCAGTACGCCCCAGTAAAGCTCAGGAGACCTTTAAAATACTTCTTATAGACTACAAATTACTTTCCTAAAAATTTCAAACTATCATTAATACACATGATTATCCACCACCCGTAGAATCTCAGCTTACCCACGTGGTAGTAATATTCACATGATAATTTACTACTTCCTTCTGTGGTATTAGTTTGACAGTACCAAATCTCGATCATCATTTCTTAGAAGACTCATAAGACGAAGAATTTATAGAAGACAGACGTAAGGTAAACTGCTGAACAATCTTTTGCAAACAATAAAAACTACCATAATTGGTATAACATCATAGCTCAAACTACTTCTGCAACCAGGACTAAACATAAGTTAATAAACCAGTAATCAAAATAAACCTGAATTCAACAAAATATTCCTTTAATGAATTTCTTGTGCTGAGAGCGATTAAACTTTGTTAGAACGAATCTTTGTGTGTAAGAATTATTTCTTCAAAGGTAAAATTTCAAGGCATGAAGCAATGAGGTAAATAAGAAAAGGAGGTGGCAGGAGACAGTTTCTGACGGCAAAAAGCAATTG